CAATTCCAAAAGATGGGGACACTAACCATGTTCTTATACACAGTAAAAAATTGTAATTGCAAATGGGCTGATTCATCAGGGTCATGTTCATATCTGTGCCTGAACTGCAACAGGGAACTGCCGCTTTTTCTTTCCTAATCCTTACTACCGTCATTTTCCCTCTACTTCTTTTGTATGTTTGTCATACTCTTGTGACCCGCTATGTCCGGGGTGCCTCGATAGTCGAAGCAGACGTTGTGCTGTTGAAGCTAGAGAGGTGAGCAGTGTAACGACTTCTCTGTTGACATCCACCCCTTAGCGCCCATATGACCTTATTTAGTTGAGAGCGGCATAAAACCTCTACTAAAACTAAACTATACATAATACATACAGCCAACACTATATTATGTATGTACTGTGCACATGCATAACCAATTTGCAAAGTCGAATGTTCAACAGTATTTAAATACGCTGTATTAACACATCTTATTCAAGACCGTCACTTCTCAGGGTTTATAATAAATCGTTCCTTCTTGTTGAACAGTGTTTGTTTTGTGGGGGGGTTTTATATCACCAAGTATGAGAGATAAATACTCTGGTGTGTCGGGGAATTTTAGCAATAATACATGTACATGCATATCATGAGTTGTAAAGCTTTTGACGATATCTGGAAAACCATTCCTAAATGTCTTATTTAGGCCTACACACATACATCTTCTGGAAGTTTAATCTCAAAGCAAGGAATGCCGACATGATCTACGGGACTACATGTGTTTACTCACGTAGAGGAGCGAAAGTATTCAATGATTTGTTTAGATTTTTTGTTAAGCAAGAACATTGGTTCAATTTATAGGTATGGGACATTTTCATTAGAATACAGTCATTATGCCTTTATATTATTTTCGTATACAACACCAGCACAGTGAGAAAGCAATCCATGCATTTTTTTAAAAAGACGTCGCATGTAAAGTCCATACTGAACCACTAACCGTTCTTTTAAAGCCTTTTCCTAACTACAGTGGAGTCCACTTATAACGAGTCCTGAAACAACGAGAAGTCTGCTACATAAAGCCACTATTCTAAAACCCCGTTTTTTCCCTTCTTTATCTTTGTAAATAAAATACTGCTATTGCGCAATCAGACAGTCTCTCAAGTCGGTTATAGCGGAATAATGCTGCTGATGTAAACAGCACACAGACCAATTAATAATATAAAACTGTGATGTCAAGGGACATGACTCTTATCTTTACTGTGGAGACAAGATAATTAAGGGAGTGGCACGCCCTTGGATAACGTCAAGGGTCCGGTGCGAAATAGGCAGACATCGTCTGAGAGACTCACTGAGATATTCAGTCGGACTCAGGACCACGACGAGGCAACACTTATCTTGGACGGGGGCCCCCTGACAGACCCGACTCATCGGACCGCCAGGTAACTTTACATGGTGTCAGAAGTGACTACTGAACAGCCAACTACTTCAAGAAAACACCCAAATTCAATGAAGTGCTAGAGTTTATCTATCAAGAACAGTGCTCTGTGAGAGTAGCGGTTTAGACTAGTTAGGTTTAGGCAGTTAACTGTTTGAAAACGGGAAGGATTTTGAATCTAGACTCTGGATCTGGATTCTGGAGCTAGAAACTAGAGATCTGGATAGAAGTAGATTATCTAGATGTGGTAATAGGCCTGGATTAAATAGAATCTAGATGTTTTGAACTATGAACAGTGTTGAGTTGGAACTGTGACTTGTTTGTTTGTTTGGGTCTGGAGATTCTAGATTTCTAGACTTAGAGTCTTTTATTTGAGTAGACCTATTCTGGATTTCTAGTTCCACAACAAGTGAACAGAAATGGCACAACATAACAGGGAAAACCAGCAGAAGCAATACACAGCCAACGTACCCCTTCCATTAAAATTAAACGTAACAGATGGCACAAACCTAGCACAAGGGTGGAAAAAGTTTAAGAGAAACTTAGAAAATTATGCGATCGCCACCAGATTAAACAAGGAAGAAGAAGATTTCCAATGTGCAGTGTTTCTAGCGACGATTGGGGAAGATGCTGTAGACATTTTCGAAGCAGATAAGAAAAATCTCCAAAGCGTCATACAAGCTTTTGACGACTTTTGCATAGGAAAGACACATGAAGCCTACGAGTCTTACAAGTTTCACACGAGGAAACAAAAACAAGACGAAACAATAGAGGCCTACAATGTACAACTTCGTCAGCTAGCCAAGTCCTGCAACTTCGGAGACACACAGTTGCAAGACCGCTTAACATGAGATCAGGTGGAGATAGGAGTGAGAGAAGAAAGCTTAAGAGAAAAGTTTTTGGAAGACAAAAATCTCACCCTAACAAAGTTTCTAGATATAGGACGAGCATATGAGTCATCTAGGACACAGTCGCATACAATAAGCCAAAGTACCGGAAACTAAGTTTCAGAAGTAAACAGGTTGCAGAAAGGAAAGTTTTACAGGCAAGGTCAAAGTCAAGGTCAAGGTCAGGGCCCCAAGCAAGAATTCCAAAGAATAGAAAACATAGGAAAATAATGTCACATATATGGAAGAGGTCCACACGATAAACAAGAATGTCCTGCCAAACATCCGGAATGCTACACATGCAAACAGAGAGGACACTTCTCCACAGCTTGTAGAAACAAAGACAAGAAGTCGGTAAGACAAGTTGAAGAAATTTTCCTGGGAACACTACAGCTGGAAAACTAATATGGTGTCAGGGCCGTGCAAAGCAACGATGACTTGTGGAACGCAGAAATAACTACAATAGGAAAGCCAGCTAAGTATAGAGTGGATACTGGTGCAGACGTCACGGTGATACCGGACAGATATTTCAAGAAAAACTCACCTCTAATAAAGAAAACAGAGAAGAAATTATTTGGAGCAGGACACCAGGAATTACAGGTAAAAGGAGTAGTCAGGGCTACATTGGATACCAGGAATACATCTTCAGAACAGGATGTGTATGTCGTCACAAACCTGAATGAGCCTTTGTTAGGTAGACCAGCTATAGAAGCTTTGAAACTCTTGGAGAGAGTGAACGCGGTGAAGAAACAAGGTATACCTTCGGAATATCCAGAGTTATTTTCGGGGTTAGGAAAGATAAATAAGCCCTACAAGATCACACTGGATCAAGAAGCAAAACCGTTTTCTGTTGCGGTTCCTCGTCGACTATCCCTGCCACTGAAAGAAAAGGTGAAAGAAGAGCTTGAGAAGATGGTGGAGCAAGAAGTTATTGAGCCAGTCTCTGAGCCAACAGACTAGTGTGCCCCCATTGTTGCCATTCCCAAGCCAAACGGAAAAATCAGGTTATGTGTAGACTTCACCAAGTTGAGTGAAAGTGTGCATAGAGAAAATTTTCCCCTACCTACAACAGATCAGCTGTTTGCGCAACTCTCGGGATGTGAATATTTCAGTAAGCTAGACTGCAATAGTGGATTTTTTCAAATACCACTAGAGAAAGAGTCACAAAAGTTAACAGCTTTTATAACTCCTTACGGGAGGTACTGCGTCAAGAGATTGCCTTTCGGAATCAGCTCAGTACCGGAGGTCTTTCAAAGGGAAATGACCCAAATCTTGTCGGGCATTCCTGGAGTGGTGGACGACATTGACGATGTCTTGATCGGAGGAAAGGATAAGGAAGAACACGACAGCAGACTTCATATGGTACTTCAAAGAATGAAGCAAGCTGGAGTCACCCTAAACAAAAAGTGTGTTTTTTGCGTCAAATCCATCAAATTCCTCGGACACATTATATCCAAAGAAGGCATACAAATAGACCCAGAAAAGGTAGAAGCCATCACAAAGTTCCCGAGACCAGAAAAGATTACCGATGTCCGAAGTTTCCTAGGCATGTTGAATCACATAGGAAAGTTTGCACCCGGTCTGGCAGAAAGGACAAAGCCGTTGAGAGATTTACTAAGAAAAGAAACAATATGGACCTGGGATGATCCGCAGGAACAAGCATTCCAGTCATTAAAGAAACAGATGAGTACAGCACCTTTACTCATTCATAACAGTCCTCAAAAGTCAACATCCTATGGCATGGGTGGTGTACTGATGCAAAAAGAAGGCACAGATTGGAAACTAGTCTATTATGTGTCAAGGTCCCCTACAGATACAAAGCGAAGATATGCACAAGTTGAAAAGGAAGCCTTAGCAGTTACTTGGTGCTGCGAGAGATTTGCAGACTTTTTGGTGTGATTGCCAAAATTCCTGATTGAAACAGATCACAAATTACTTCTTCAACTGATGAAAACAAAGCATCTGGATGAATTGACCCCTCGCATTCAGAGATTTAGGATGAGAATGATGAGGTTTTCCTACAATATCGTCCATGTACCAGGAAAGAATTTGGTAACAGCCGATGCATTGTCAAGAGCTCCGGTGGGAGTGCCAAGTAAAGAAGATCATCACATGGAAGAAGAGTGTGAGCTACACGTCAGATCTGTCCTGGAAGGATTCCCAGCAAGTGACAAGAAATTGCAAGAAATTAGAGAGCAGCAAGATGCAGACGAAATCTGTAAGAAATTAAAAGAATACTGTCAGTCCTCATGGCCAGCGACAACCAAAGTCGATCCAGTTATGAAGCTATATTGTGGACGTCGAGAGACGAGCTGACTGTGGAACAAGGTTTGCTACTATACCAGTGCCGAATTGTTATTCCCACAATATTAAGACAGGATGTTTTGAAACGTCTTCACGAAGGACACCAGGGGATAGTCAAGTGCAGAGCGCTGGCTCGAAGCAGTGTATGGTGGCCTGGACTGTCACAGCAAATCGAAACGTTGGTTACAAACTGTCCAGACTGTGAAAAAGAAAGAAAGGTCAGCCCAGAACCATTGAAGCCGACAGTCACTCCAGACTACCCTTGGCAAAGGGTGGGTATGGATCTTTTTGTGTGGAAAGGTCACACATATCTACTAATAGTAGACTATTACTCGAGGTGGATTGAGATAGCTCATCTAAGAGAGCCTACTGCTTCAAATGTCGTAGAACATTGCAAGTCAATTTTTGCTAGATATGTAGTTCCTGAAATCGTCGTCTCAGACAATGGATTCCAGTTCGGTGCACACGAGTTTCAAATGTTCTCACAGTACTATGAGAAGCACCCCTCTACATCCTCAGAGTCAAAACTATCAAAATGTTACAGAGTAAGTCTGATGATCCTTACGTGGCTCTCATGAACTACCGCTCCACTCCTTTACAGCAAGGACAGAGCCCAGCAGAACTTCTAATGGGTAGGAAAATCAGGACAAGAGTGCCCATTTTCCCAGAAAAATTGGTCCCAAAGGGAGGAGAAAGGCAGGTGGTCAGGAAGATTGACGCAACTTTTAGGCAGAGGCATAAACAGGATTACGATCGAAGACATTGCGCCAAGCTCATGTCAGACTTGTCAAAAGGACAGCCAGTTTGGGTTAAAACCCCAAGGGATGCCAAGGCTACGGTTGTAGAAAGATCGAGAGACAGATCATACCTCTTGAAAACGGACAACGGCTTGAAGGTTCGTAATCGTCACCAGACCCGGCTGAAGACGGAAGGCGACGACAGTAACCATCTCGTGATCCCTAGAGAGTCTTCTATGTTGCCTCACCATCAGCCAGAATTACCAGCAGAGTCACTAGAGTCAGACACAACCCTTCATGATACTTCCACTACGTCTGACTACATAACGAAGTCGGGACGCCATGTCAGGCCTCCGCAGAGACTCAGACTTGTAGGCGAAGTTTCTGCTGTGTACAGTGTATATAAGTTTTCAGAGTTATAGTTTCAGTTTCTGGTTGATGCGTCTATCAATTTGATTTGTTCTTGAAATTGCTTGTGAGGGGGATGTGATGTCAAGGGACATGACTCTTATCTTTACTGTGGGGACAAGATAATTAAGGGAGTGGCACGCCCTTGGATGACGTCAAGGGTCCGGCGCGAAATAGGCAGACATCGTCTGAGAGACTCACTGAGATATTCAGTCGGACTCAGGACCACGACGAGGCAACACTTATCTTGGACGGGGGCCCCCTGACAGACCCGACTCATCGGACCGCCAGGTAACTTTACATAAAACCTCGCCAGTTGAGAGAGTTGTTAGTGATCCAGCGAAACAAAGAACGGGAGAGCCCACGCGAACCAACAATGAAGGCCGGAGCGAAAAAGTGGGGAGGGTGTGGCATGCGCAGACAAGCAGAACGCATCGCGTGATAGGCCAGCCCAGTCTAGATTATCTAGGCATACCGTGCCTCTCACTTCTCTGGTGCGGGATGGAGAGGTCACAATGCTGTGATAGATGGAGTGAATGTGTGACGTGCGCAAGCAGACGCAACGCACCACAGGGTGTGGTGGGGTGGAAAACAACACAACGGGCAAGTTAGCCTAGAGCCAGAGCCCCTTCTTTCTGATCGCCAAAGCCGATTTGTCAACATTTCTAGCGCTAGAGAAAGAAGCCTGATTCGAATTTTGATCAAGTAAGACCAAGAGATCAGGTTGAACAAAATCATCACCAGGGGAAATACAAAAAAGGAATAAACAGAACACCAAACTCATAGATTAGGCTTACTTTACATTTTCACTTGAATTTATTGCTGGATCCCTAATAACGAGAATCCTGCTATAATGGACATTTCGCACCGGTCCCCCCCCCCCCTTCTCCTTATAACAGGATTCCACTGTATATACCTTTTAATTTTAATTTTATTCTTTTTTTCTTAGAATCAATAACTAGATCGTGATGAGACTGCACAAAAATTGACATTTTAATTAACGCCATTATGCGTCATATAATTTGTCTTCAGTTTGGGTTTGATTAATAAACGTTGATTTAATCTCAGTCCAATAAACATGTGAAACCGTTTTTATATTTACAAAAATCATTATGGACGTTTATTCAAACAAGCCGTAGTAGAAAGTGGTGCAAAACTTATCCTGATCATTACATGTGTACAGTAATAGGGTATCCCGAAAGACACTTACCTTTGGCAAAGTGTCACTGCTACTGCCGCCTTTGATGGTACTGGTATTATCATCATTTGTACGCTGTCGAACAACATTTGGTGACGAAATCGTCTTCAAATAATATGCGGCTTTGGGCATACGAAAGTAGGCGTACCGTAATTGAACAATTTAGACTCCTCTTCTTGAAGTTCTTCATATAAGGTGTACAACTCTCCTCTTAGTAATCTGTGAGAAACAATGGGATTAACCAAAATCTTCTTTGTCGTTTTCTTTTTTCAATAAAAAGATTCTTCTCATCACCATGACCAAAGGCTCCCTGACTCTCCGATCGTCCGCGTTGAACTGAGCAGTAGCGTTAAATTAAATATCGCCCCTTGTGGCTGCCACACAAAAGTAAGCGACACTTTCTCAACTTTCTGCGCAGAATTTACTGTGCGACAATTGTAGCTCGTTTGTCCAGGCCCTAGATCAAATTTTCTCTTTGAACGTATGTTTATAAGAAAAGGGCTATTTGAATGTTGACAAATGTTTATTTTGAATTTACTAGAAACTGAATAAGAATTGTTATCAGCAATCAATCTCTTGTCCACAGTATTGCCGACAAAAAGTTTACGAACCGCCCCTGATGCCAGCTCAAATATAATCAGGAGAGCTCATTATGTCTATAATAACACTTAGGAAAAAAATTCGTCATTGTTAGTTCAAACGCACCACAGCAATGTTAAATTCAGCTATACGAAGGTATGATGTTTGCCTAACCATCATCTCTGAGTATGGGGAAGCCACCCTATTTCGTTACAAATAACGAAAGCTGTGTAGGCATGCTAACTGTACTATAGCCTTGTCAACTTTTGTCTGACCGCGTTAAAAAAAGTTCTAGCTCCCAGGGGCGAAGGCTGACTTGTTTGACAGGGTAATCAAAGTGAGATATCACACTCACACAAGTCACAAGAATCTTACTGGCACTGGAGGCGGCAACTCTGAGTTGTGAATGAAAACAAATCCTGAATTCATGTTGTATGCTTGTTCAACCGCTAAAATAATAGTGAAAGTATTTCATTAAATATTTATTCTAACTAACCTTAAATTTAACTTTAGATTTGAACACACGAACACCAAGGAAAGAAGCAGAGATGTCGGTACTAGGCCTACAATGGCATGTTATACCAGACAGCCGAAACATGCCAATTATTAATTTTTTATTTCACATTTGGCTGTTTTTGTCTAGCTTTTCGCGGCCAAGACCCGGTGTCATAATCGAGGTCACGATCTGATTATAGGGCGTTAAAAAGTCGAGGAAATAAAAAGCACTTGCAGCAGTCAAGATATTATTAGGAGTTAGTTCCCCTCACATCTGTGAGGTAGACTCGACCAGTGTAATAGTTAGCTTACATAATCAGCGCGTGTGGCTGCTTATAACTGTGGCTCGAAAGGGGTGAACAGGGTATAAGCGGCAATGAAACAGTTTTGACTGCTATGCTCGTGTTCCCTTCAACTCTATTGGTAGACTCTTCCAGCCTCACTTTAACTTTAAGCTTACTTAATCAAAGCTTGTGACTGCTTATGGAGTGGCCCGAAAGGGTCGAACAGGCTATTTCTGAGGCAATTAAACGGTTTTGAAGGTTAGGCATAGTCTATTGTTCATTGGTGATTATGAACGTCTCTTTACATTAAATTTATGAAGTTTACGTCTATGGGTGAATTTGACTGCGACAATGTTTCAAAATTAGGAAGGGAAGCAGTGATTATTTGATTATATAGACGCTTCGCCTCTGCTAGCTCTCATTTATTGCTTAACCTATGTCCAAAGGCATGGCACTTCTGCAGGCCACCGACCAATTAAAAAAAATTTTTCCCTAAAAAGTCTTGATCCTGTAATAAAAAAGTTTTTCTCTTTGGACACGCTCTTTGGATGCATACGCAGGATCACTCAAAAAATATTAATGACACGATAAATTGTACACAAACTGGGCGACCTAGCGATCATACGATAAATCGTTTGGTCTAACCACAAACTTGGACAAAATTTGGACGATTGGACGATGGCTTGGTAGAAACTCGGTCGAGAAATCAAGCGCTGCTTGATAATGATATTTTTTGTGCGATCGCGTTTAGATTTGGGGGAGACGCGCTATGGCGTAGAAGAATCACTGTGAAATTTGCCGCTGCACAGGATTAAACTTGGGGCACAAAATCTAAAAAATGATAACATGTATCTTAAAACTGATTTCATATTCGGAATCAGCGTCTTAAAATAAACAGAGTAGCTCTCGTGATCTAGAGGTACAGTGTTCGCCCTTCAACCATTCATTAGGTCATAGGCTCGAAACCTTCACATATAGATCTATATATGTAGTGCAGGCAAATCGCTGTCGTCGCAAAGAGATACGGTGGTTTTATGACGAGAAATCTCCTCGATCGAAAGAAAACTTGGACGATAGATTGGAACGTGTTCAACACAGTTCGATAATACGGACAGTTCTCGCATACGACGAATCTGAAAAATACAATTTATCGTTGCGTGTAACCGGGCCTTAAGGGGGGGGGGGGGGGGGGGGTACACCTGGAGGCTATCTCGCTTATTACTGGACCGAATTTTACCACATTTCACACATATAACAAGCATAGTAAGGAGTCTTGAAATCCGCAATCAAATTTGAGAAAAAGGTTTCGTTTCCATGTGTACGCCGCCATATTGGATTTTATTGACATGTCTTACGTAATGAATACCGCACTTATCGCTCATGGAAATTCATTGTTTTTTTGCATGCGTCTTCACAAACATTAGATCTAAAAATGTATCTGTTGTTTTTTTGCTAATCGAATAAGAAAATTTTTAATGAATTTTTTCCTGAGGTAGCATTCAAGTTTGCGAAAAATCCGTGAAAATCCACACTCCAGACACCACCAACAAAAATTTATTCCATATATCAAACATTCAACAAATAAATCTTTAGTATCACCTCTTCTCTTCATTCGCGATTTAGATAAGCATGCGCAGAAATCCCCACGGGCCAGAACTCGGAACATGCGCAGAAATCCCCAAGGGCCAGAAGCCGCAGGCTAATCGATCAAATTCGTTCGAGCAGCAAAACGCTAGCCACCCTAGATCGAGCGACTAGCCAGCTAGTATATCAAATTAAACTTTAATTCAAGCACAATGCATTGGGGCATGATAAAAATAAATTCTACAATACTTTGTGTACAAATTGGGTAACATTTTCACAGTATATGGGGAAAATTGGGCAAAAACGAAAAATGCAATATAATACAGGTATGGTGTTGGTAGTAAAAACACGATAAAACAAATCATAAAATCATCTCACAAGGTAGTTTTATATATCAAATTTAAGCTCTTTTCAAGTTTTATACATTGAACTAAACTGTACATTACAGTGAAACCTCGTTTTACCGCCTTCCGTTGTGCCGCCATCCCCGCCTACTGCCAGGTTTTGTCAATATACCAAAAGGAATGCCTATATAAACATAGTACTTGCGCCTTCACACCACCATCCGCCATCCACCAAATGTGTGAGTTGTACTGTCCTTATTTAACTAACGTAAATTTACCCAGTTGTACCGCCAGCGAATTGCCTTCTAGAGGTACGCCCTACACCGCCGAATTTCTGTTGACTTGCGCTGATTATGTAATGCGATTTGTTTAAGGCCTTGGCCAATTTTTAAAAATTATTATTTAAAAGTGGAATGAAGTTTAAAAGTCGCCTGGAGAAACTTTAAAGGAGCTGCACAAACTACCTGACATCGCCAGGTATCAGACCAATGACCTAAAGGCTGGCGGGCGCTAGTAAGGCTTCAATATTG